CGTTCTCCTCATGGTTCCTACTTTCCATGAATTTATAACAACTCTTGTACGTCCATTCTCTCGCATCATGTTCATCATTCAAATTTGTAACATCATGATCAACGCTATTCCACGAAACCTCATAGCTACTTTTATATCCCCAATTTCTTGCTCGATTATCATCATTGATCGTAGATGAATCCACCACTTGATCACTTGAAGCATCAATGTTTTTATTAATCTCTCTACCAGATTCCAAATGAGGCCGATCTAGACACTTAGGTTCTTCTTCAAAATCCACGATTTCTCCAGATTCACTATAATCCCTTATGGGACTGTCGACACCATCGATAAGGTGCAATCTCAGCCGTCCATCTTCACGGGACGCACGGAAAATCTCTGGTCGGTCGATCATAACTTGTGTAAGCTCCAATCTACCGTCTTTCCTCACAGGCCGGAGATAAAAAGACCGTTGTCCTCGGCTGTTTAACGACGAGAGTGGCGGAGGAAATTCTCTTTTCCTCTCTTGCACCGGCGCCACCATATTCTCCTTAGTCTTCCTCCTCTTTGTTACAACCCTTTCCGTGTCCACCTCTGCATGAAACGTCATCTTATTCTCCACCTCGTTATCGGACATTTTCATGTCGGAACTCTCGAACCCTAGATACTCTGTGCACAACATTAAGCCATTCGCCTTTTCAGAAAATCCTAACCCACCAGGATTCTTCGGAAATGACTCAAAGATCTTGTCATGGGCAGCCAAAGTTTTCAGAGGGAGACCGGATTCATACCGCGGACGCTGAGGCTGGGAATCTTCCTCATCCTTAAACGGCATCGTTTTGGCGTTGGTGTGGCGGAGGAAGGAGTGAAAGCTTCTTTTGTAGAAGCTCACCTTGTTCACACAGAGAGGGTGACAAGATAGATACATGCCCCCTTATTTGTATTGTTCTGATGATTGATGAATAATTATTACTTTTTTTTAGAAAAAAATACAAAAGACAGAAAGATATGGAAAAAGAGATGATCGAAAGAATCGGTGTTTTGCTTGGTGAATAAGGGTGCCACCGAACAATATGACCTGTGGAGATTAGAAGAGAACGTAAGATGGGTGCCACGTCATCAGATGGCTTCACACTTCGATCTCTTTTTATTAACTCTCTTGTTTTTATAATCAACAGTGTCTCATTTACAAAGAAAAGAGGAAAGTTTGACCGATTCTTTTTATCCCTTGACATCTAAGTGTAGATTCTACGAAACCATATCACGGGTTTGGCTATTTATAGGTGGATTAGTTATTGTGATTGTTATTTGAGAAATTTTAACTATCTAATACGAACAAATTTTGAAATTATCAAACTACCACAAGTATTAGAACTCGGGAAAATATTTGTTATCTGTTTCGATATTTTTAAGTGTTTCAGTTTATCCAAAATCTTTGGTATTTTTTAGGAAAAAAAGAAAAATTGAACAAGCATAAGTTGAAAACTGGAAAACAGAGTGACCAAGATTAATTGAGTGATGTAGATCCATTAAACGATAGTATGAGCTCCAAACCAGAGCACGAGACCCTCTGATCAACCCGGCAATCATCATGCCAAACAAAATTAATCCTATTTCGAATGCTTTTGTCTATGATTTGAACAATTTCATCCCGTGTGGAAGGTTGTTCCCCATGTCTACGATTATACCTTTCTCTCCACACATGGTATACAATGGCTTGGAAGGCATATCTTTTAAGAAACCTTTCAAGATATGGCCTTTGTATCTAACCCAATAAGAATGATCATTTCCCATTCACAGACAAAGGCTTGACGAAGAAGACCACGAGCTAAAGACGACCAGATTTGAGAAGCATACGGGCAACAACCTAGATTTGAGAGTTGGTTGCA